TCTTCCCTGTATAGCACAGGGAACTATATTCAATATCTTGTGATAAACTATAATGGAAAAGAAAAAAAATGCCAGTTTTTCAAACAGTACCATTTTACATTCCCACTAGCAGTATATGAGTTCCAGTTGCTTCATCTCCTCATTAGCACTTGGTATTTCAGTCATTTTAATTTTAGATTTTAATGTATGTGTAGTGATTTTATGTTTCATTGATGACTAAAGATATTGAGTACTTTTTTGTGTACTTGTTGACAATTCCTATATCTTCTTTGGTAACGTCTGTGTCCATAGCTTGCCTATTTGTGTTTGTCTTCTTATGATTGAGTTGTGAGAGTTCTCTATATTTTCTGGATACCAGTTGTCAGAAATACGTATTGAAAATATTTTCCAGTCTGTAGCTTTTCTTTTCACTTTCTAAGTGGTGCTTTTTGTTGAGCAGATTAAAAATTTGATGAAATCAAATTTAGCAATTTTATCGGTTATTATTAGTGCCTTTTGAGAAATCTTTGCTTAGGTCATGACACTACTTCTAAACTACCTATGTGTACAACTTTGGTTTTTTAAAATTATTTTTAATCTAAAAAAGTGAGAGCATAGTTCTAGTCTCTTGCCAGTTATTCCCAGTTATCATCCCAGCCAGGAGGCAAGAACTATGAAATAGCAAAAATAAGTTGTTTTCAAAGAGTTGAGGCACTGTAACTTCTCAATATTTATTGTTATTTGTTTCATTGTGATAATTAAATGACAAAACTCTTAAAAACAATCAAAACTACCAAGATTTAGTCCCAGGAGTAGACAAAATATTTTTAGGTTAAAACTGGGCACTGGATAGAAATATTGGTGGTGGCTATCAGCAGGAACAGATAAAGAAGGAAAATTAAACCTGAAAACCCATAATAAATAAGTAGTTAGAAAAGATGTTAAAGGAATAAAGATGGGGGGACCAAAAAAAAAAAAGACATGTTTCATGTGAAAATAAATCAAGGAAAAGCTCGTTTAAAATGGAATCAGGAAGCCCTGCAGGAGAGCTCTCAGGTACTTTCCACTGTTGCAGCCTGCAAAACCGGCAGGAATCAGGAAGATAAAAGTTATTTCAACAAGGTCAGCTTATATAGAACTCTTTGTGTAAAATTCTCTGTCTCAACTTCTTATCCACGATGATAAGGATGTTACTTTTCTTCTGGTACAAGGGAGGACATTTTTCATATTTTGGAATCTCATCACCTGCTTTTAAGAAAAGGAAGATCCCTCCCTGCTCTAGCAACAAAGCACTGACCACAGCTTGCAGCTAATAATAAACCGCCACAACCTCTAGCTCTTGTTCTTCTCCAATGAACTTTTAATTCAAGACAACCCTCTCCAATCTCCCCTTAAAACCTAGTAAAAGCTGACCTTTCCTTTGTCTTTTCGCACTTGCCTGTGATTCACCATAGCTTGCCTAATCCAAATTGCAGTTCTCTGCTTTACCCCCTATCCCCTCCATAAACCCATTTTGCTGTTAAAACAATTGGCTGGTTTATGTTTAAGGTCAATATCCACAACCTCTACCCCAAAATCCTATGTAGTCTAAAAAGTTAAAATTGTGATGGTATATAAGGAATGAACATAGACTTAAACTTAGATTTGTTTTTCGAAATTTGTGGTATTAAAACTAGGGTCTACCACTGAAGCTAAACTACAAAGCAGGTTTTGTAAGAGACTAGTTTATTAAGATAGGAAAGCGTGGAACAGTTGTAAAGACGCGAAAAGAATTTATATTCAATTATAATTATGTTTGAATAGTTAACAATATAAGGTGTACTATTACTAGGTGCTACAGAGGTTTCAAAAAGCTATGAACGATAATTAACGTATTTCCCATATACACTACATCCTCAAGAATATGTAGTGTGTGGGGGAGGGCTGGATATATATATATAGATATATAATATAGATATAGATATAGATATAAAGAGTGAACAGTAAAGTACAGGGGTATCTAACCCGGCCAAACGCGAGTCTAATTACCATTACAGGGATCCTCAATGCGCATTCTCCTCCACCACTACCCCAGCATGCGCCTGCTCGCAGCCCTGGCCTCCGCACGCCCTTTGTGACCCCACAGTGCGTCATTCTCAGGACTTTAACGGCGCCCTGGAGCCGCACAACCCTGCGACGCGCAGACGCAGGAGGAACGCGAGGCCCCGCATACGGCTGTGAGGGGCGTGGTGCCCCGTCCCCTCAGTCGGCGGACCATAGAGCTTTCAGGCCTCCAGGATTCCTAGAGAGCTTCCGGAAGTGGCTTGGGGCAAGATGCGTGTTGGCCGGTGTTGTGCCTCCGCACGTTTGGAAGTTGGGGGCTCGAGGGGCCTGGTCGGGTTACAGCTTCGCCCCTTTTTCTCTCAGCCCTTCCTCCAAGTCTGTCCACCTTTTGCCACCTCCTTTCCCCACCCTGGGCCTCCCCTGGATCTCACGGTGAGTACGGTTCTGGTCGGAGGAAGGGGAGTGCTTTGTGGCCAGACCAGGCCGCTGCTGAGGACAAGCCGGAGGGGTCCGGAGACGGGGCCTGAGCCGAGATCTTGGTGACTTGGTCGATCAGGGGCCGCTGTGGTTGCCGGCACAGGCCGAGTCCGCCTACCCAAACTTTTTGCGAGGGAACCTTTAATGGAGATTCGCTTTCTTCTTCGCCAGTCGTTTTGTGGTGGTGTTTGCAATCGATCTTATTTGTCTTAAAATAGGAATCTGTCCCCACTCTCTGTTTCCACACTCAGAATTGTTTTTCCTTAGCAATTTTGCATTTCCGTCACAATTCTCTTTTTTTCCTAAAGGATGTATTTTGCTTTCGGAAGCCCCAGCTATCCTTGGAAAACTATTTTTGCTGTTAAGTTATTCTTTCTGCTCTTTGTAGTGTATTCGGAGCATGGTGTTATGTTGACTGGATAAATGTACGAAAGAAACATGTTTTAACAACTTGAGGTAGTATAAAATTAAGCCTCATTCAGAATACTTTACTTACTCCGTTTGTTAAAGCTAATTTAAGTAGATGCCTGGGAACGCTTTAGGAGGGGCCCCATTTCCAAAACTCAGGTGACTTTTGAATAAATTTTAAGTAATTAAGACTTCCACTACCACCTCCAAAAAACAATCTGTATTTTTGTTTGATTAGTTCAGTTAAGTATATTTATGCAGTAATCATAGTTTTAGCAAATGTATACGTATTTTGAATTTCTCTTGTGGTTAAGTGTAAATGTGGTAGATGTTAAACCATTCAGCCTACACTGTGTGAGATACTTACAATGCACAGTGTTTGCTTCACCTTGATCTTTAAAGCCTGGAAAATATCTTTATGTTTTGTTTTATTTTCAGCTCCCAAACTTCTTAAATTAGTCTGCAGAAAGCATTCCTTTTTCATCTATTGAAAAGATAATCATATGTTAAAATCAGTGTTGTGCCTTCAGTAGTTCACAGGATTGTAGCGTTTGAGATGGGAAGAAGTTTTGAAGAGTGATTATTTTAACTTCCTAAATCAATAAAGTTGACAAGTTATTCTTAAAAGAGAATGTAAAAAGCAGTCTATATACAAGGCGCTAAATACAGGTGTGTATACACAAAACTGTTTAAGAGGAAGATACATAATGATCTAATTCTGTAGTACATATCTTTGTACTTGGTTAGCTATAGGTTGTAATTGTCAACTGTCTGGAGAGGGAAGAGGCTAAAAATGGAAAACTAGCTACTAAAAAAATAATCAAATGGGCAATGGACAAGATTGGTTGGTTAATTTAGTTTAAAATATAAAAAAAACTGATAATAGGTAACTTCCATCAATTTCACTACTGAGACTTTATTTAATGTCATTTAGAATTATATTATTATTTTAATTTAATATTTTAATGTATCTACAACATGAGTGCTGTTCAGTAATGAACACTTAACGTTGAAATATTTTATAGCTAGTATTGACGAGCATTGATTATAAGACAGAAGATGGCCAGTAGTTCAGGTAAAGATGAACCTTGACTTTAGGGAATTCATAAGAAAACATGGTAAAACTCTGACTATGTAGTATCACATTCAAAACAGAGCTTAGAATTCATGTCCCATGGTAATGACTTTAAGTTTTTAATCTATAAGTGTATTTTAAGAAAGTTTAAGAATTTATTATATTTTCATTGATTTTTTAAGTGAATTATTTTAAAACCATGGATGTTAATCCCGTCTATTCAAAACAAAATTGATTACCCCTTATTTGAAACTCTCCAGAAAAATCTCAGCCTCTTGCCCAAATTCACTCTTCCTTGAAATCTCACTATTCCAGGAAATTCCCCCACTTCTCTGTAAAGTTAACGTCTATGAATTAAACCCTCTGTTGTTGCTTATCATATTTAACCTTATCTCTTGGTCCTTGATTCTTCCTATTTGTAGTTTACTCCCCAAACTGTTGTAGCTAGCCTTGTCTAATTTTCAAATTCTCTTTCTTTTCTGTCCACACTCTAAGTAGGGGTTATTAACCTTCCCGGAGTTCTTGGATGGGTGTTTGTTGTGTGAACTCTGATGAAACTGAATGTAAACTTCTGTGCCTATGGGCTTTTTTCTGGGGAAGAATTCTGTTTTCATTAGATTGAGAAATTATGAGCCACCCCTACGCCACCTTCTCTACCCGCCAAAACTCTGAAAGATACACTCCTTTGAAGACTCATGTCAGGAACATTACGTAATCTGATTTTCCTTCTGAATACCAGTTTCTTCTTTGCCTTTGTGGACTGTAGGTCTGTGGCTTTATCTTGATGTTAGCATTTCTTGCCAGCTGCTTTTGGATATGCTACCCTTGGTTATACTCTTCTTCCTTCTCTATAGTGCTGCCTTCAGTCATGTTTTTCTCCAGTCCATTGTCTGGAGATAACAATGTTTGCCATTGTTATCTTTCTGGCACACAAATATGTAATATAACTTCCTACTTAAAAAGAGGTATAAAGAAAAAAGTCACTGCCACAAACATTTGCAAGAAAACCATACATACTGTACACAATGTGATAAACCCTATGTTTGGACCATGCTGAACTACCTTGGCAAGAATGAGCACCTTAATCTGCTGGGGGCAGGGCAGCTAACGAATGGGGGCAACAGGGAAGTCCTAATTAAAAAGGTAACAGGTTAGCTGAGACTTTTATGTTAGAGTTTGAATGATTTCAGCAAGACCAGGTTTTATCGACATTGACATTGACGCTTTGGGCCAGATAATTCTTTGTTGTGGGGTGGTTATGTTAATGCATTATGGGATGTTTACTAGCATCTCTAGCCTCTACCTACTAGATACTAGTAGCATACCTTCTCAGTTGTAACAACCAAAAATATCTCCAGACGTTGCCAAATCCTAGGAAAAGGGGGCAGGATTGCCCTTGGTTGAGAAACACTGAGCTAGAGGAAAGAGCTCTGCAAGGCAGTGGAATTATGAGAAAGCCACATTCAGAAAAGACTATATGAAGGAGAGTTGGTAGCAGATAAAGCTAGGCAGATTTACATTACATATTATGCTGAAAAGTTGGGTTTCCTGTTGAAAATTTTAAGCAGGTGAGTTATATTACATATTTGTTAAAACAACCTTTCTAGCAGTATATTAGTTTCATGGGACTACCATAACAAAGTACCACAAACTGGGCGACTTAACATAACAGCAGCTTATTCTCTCACAGTTATGAAGGCTAAAAGTCCAAAATCAAGGTATCAACAGGGTCATGCTCTCCTTACTTCTGGTTGTCACTGATAATCCTTGGCTTTCCTTGGCTTGCAGCTGCATAACTCCCTGCCTCTGTAGTCACATACACATTCTTTATGTCTGTATCTTCATGTGGCCGCCTCTTTTTGTTAACCTCTGTGTCTCTTCTTAAAAATTCACCAGTTGTATGGGATTAAGGTCCCACCCTACGCCAGTATAACCTTACCTTAGCTTGATTATATCTGCAAAGACCCTATTTCCAGATACGATCACATTTACAGATAACAGAGGTTAGGACTTCAACGTATCTTTTGGGAGGGACATAATTCAATGCACAGTAGGCAACTTTGTGGAACATGAAAAGCATAACCAAAGGCAAGAAGACCACTTAACCACTGCAACTGCAGGCAAGAGATGATGCCTGATACTGAAGATAAAATCCACAGACATATATCCAAGAAGCCAATTATAAAATTTATATCAGAAGACAATGGGACTAGAGAAGCCAAAACAATTTTGAAAATGAACAACAAAGTTGCAAGACTCTTAGTACTTGATTTCAAGATTTTAAAAGCCACAACAATCAAGACAGTTTTGTATTGGTGAAAGGATAAACATATATGTCAGTGGAACAGAATAGAGATTCCAGAAATAGACCCACTCATATATAGTCAATTGATTTTTGACAAAGATGTAAAGATAATTCAGTATATAAAAGATAATCTTTTCTGCAAATAGTGCTAGAACAATTTGACAGCTGTATGCAAACAAACAAAAAAAAACCACTTCCATACCTCCAATTCTGTACAAAAATTAACTCACAAGGAATCAGAGAGCTAAAAGTAAAACCTCAGACTATAAAACTTTTAGAAGAAAACAGGAGAAAAAGGTGTCATATCTAAGAAATCCTTGCTTAATCCATGGGCAAGGATTTCTTAGATATGACACCAAAAGTACAATCCCTAAAAGAAAAAATTGAAAAATTAGACTTTAAAAAATTAATGAATTTCTATTCTTGGAAAGGCACTGTTAAAAAAAAATGAAAAGGTGGAAATATTTGCAAGTCATGTATTTCCCTTATGAAATATGTAAGGAATTCTCAAAAGTCAACAGTAAAATATGTAAGGAACTCTCAAAAGTCAACAATAAAAAAAAATCCCTAATCTTAAAAATGCACCAAAGTTTTGATTTCTGAGGGGGAGGTAATTAGGTTTCTTCATTGATTTCCACTTAGAGAAGGTACTGGTCATTGAACCCGGGGCCATTTTGGGTGGAATTGAGCTATACCCTCCCCCCGCAAAAAAAATGCACCAAAGTTTTAAACAGATACTTACCAAAGAGGATATAGTAGTCCCTCAGAATCCATGGAGGATTGACTCCCAGACCCCCCATGGGTGCTACAATTTTCTGACTCTCAAGTGCCTTATATAAAATGGTGTAGAATTTACATGTAACCTACACATATCCTCCCATATATTTTAAGTCATCTCTAGATCATTTATAGTAAAATGTAAATGCTATGTAAATAATTGGTGATGTGTGACAAGTTCAGGTTTTGCCTTTTGGAACTCTCTGGAATTTTTCTTTCCTCGAATGTCTCTGATCTGTGGGTGGCTGAATCTAAGGATGTGGAACCTGTGGATATGGAGGGCCAACTGTATATGGATGGCAGATAAGCATAGGAAAGGTTGCTCAACACTATTAGTAGACAAATGCAAATTAAAACATTAGTGAGATACTACTATACACCTATTAGAATGTCTAAAGTTAAATATATATAGATATATATCAAATGATAGTCAGGATATGGCGCAACTTCCCTTATCATGTTGGGTGCTTTGGAAAACAGTTTGGCAGTTTCTTATAAAATTATACATATACTTACCTTATGACCCAGCAGTTTTACTTCTAGATATTTACACAGGTGAAGTGAAAACTATGTTTACACAAAAGCTCATATGCAGATGCAACTTTATTTGTAATTATCAAAAACTGGAAACAATTGAGATCTCTGCCAACTGGGGGATGGATAAACTAACATACATCTATATAAGGAATAAACTGCTACATGCAACAACATTGATGGTCTCAAGTACAGTATGCTAGGTGAAAGATGCCAGACTCAAAAGGGTACATACTGTATGAATTTATTTATAAGACATTCTGGAATGTCATTAGTGTATGGAGCTAGATAGATATTGGGGTTGCAAGTGTTCATAGGGCACCCAGGTTCCTTGGATGCAGGATCTGTGCTCCAAAGAGAGTTCTAGAACTAAAATCCATAGTAGAAGTTGTTAGCCTGGAGACAGGAGGGAAGATGGCGGGAGGAGCACAGGTAGAATAATGAATGTTAGATGAAGAGGAAAGTGTTAGGATAGTTCTTGACAATAACTTGAGCTAAATTACATGGACATTGGTCTCATCTGTTAAGAGTGAGGGACAGGTTGAGAGTGGACGTGTATGAAAACGGTACAGCATGTACAACAAACACTGAAAGAAGCAGCTGAGGACCAGCTGAGGCTAAATGCAGAATTTCAGTTAGACCCTATCTACATGGTTTGCTGACTTTGTTTAGCCATTTTCCACATCCCCAGGAGAAAAAGCAGAAGGAAAGGGTTAGTCCCAGGTGGGTTTGACATGACACATGGCTAAGGAGAGGATCATTTAAATGACTGAGCCGTGAAGTCCCTGTCATGGTAGGGAGTTTGTTAAGATATCTTAGTAAATTACTATGATCTTTGATATACCTTTACACTATTTGTCATTTTCTCTTCCTTAAGAAATATCCTTTAAAAAGAGGCCCTCAGAAGGTTCTTCTCTTAAGAAGATAAAGAAGGTAGTGGGAACAAGCCTCCTGAGCTTTTCCAGCCCTAAATGGCTGCAGAATCAAGAAAGTCTGTAGCTCCATCCCCACCAGACCAGACTCCTGAGGAGGACCTTGTAATTGTCAAGGTAGAGGAAGATCATGGTTGGGACCAGGAATCAAGTCTACATGAAAGTAACCCTCCTGGCCAAGAGCTGTTCCGCCTGCGCTTCAGGAAGTTATGCTACCAGGAGACACTAGGACCCCGAGAAGCTCTGATCCAACTCCGGGCACTTTGCCATCAGTGGCTGAGGCCAGATTTGAACACCAAGGAGCAGATCCTAGAGCTTCTAGTGCTGGAGCAATTCCTGACCATCCTGCCCGAGGAGCTCCAGACTCTGGTTAAGGAGCATCAGCTGGAGAATGGAGAGGAGGTGGTGACGCTATTGGAAGATTTGGAAAGGCAAATTGATATACTGGGACGGCCGGTAAGTAGAAGGAGGCGTGCAACTATGACCGGGAGAGTCCTGGAAGCTGCGTGGAGGGACATACACAACAGTGGGAGAATAAATGCTGAGCATGAGTTTCTCTTGGAGGAGGATATATAAATCCATTTTTATCCTCATAACATTCATACAGCTGTATTAATATCCTTATTTGCCAGGTGGAAAACTGATGCACAGAGAGCTTAACTTACTTTTTTCAGGGGCACGCAGATAATTAAAGGTAGATCTGAGACCAGAACTCATGTTTCCTATTCCTCAGCAAAAGTTTTTTTCCACTGAAGAGCACTGCTTTAAGTTTCAGTTTATCATTCTTTTCCTGCTTTGGGAGTGCAAAATATTGGCATTGTGTGCAGCAGGGAGGGCATCAGCAATCTTTTCCTTCAGTGCTGAGCAGAAAATGATGCCTTTCTGTGCTAATCAACATGTCCGTGTTCCTTACTGCCCCTTGGAAGTAAGTGAGTTTCTGCCTCTTCCTTCCCCAAGCATGTTTCCCTGTGGATGTGATCTTAGTCCTCATCGTTGTTCACTTCATTTCTCAAAGAGGTTTCTTATAATGTAACTGTCCCATTGTTTCCAGGTCCCGGCTCGTGCACATGGACATAGGGTACTCTGGGAGGAGGTGGTGCATTCGGAATCTGCACCCGAGCCTCCAGATACTCAGCCCCAACCTGTGGCAACCCAGCACAAATCTCCAGTGCTCCAAGGATCACAAGAGAGAGGTGAGGAGCCAGATTTCATTGATGAGGAGTGAGGAAGTAGAAAAAAAAGAGAGTACATTTGAGACACCTATCTAGTTCCTGGAGAACCAGAAACTAGAATCACTCGTTTACAGACCAGCCATAAGATCTAGTTTAAATGTTTATCTAGGTTTCAAATACTGACTATCAGTCCTAGCGGTAAACTCACAAACAAATTAATGAATTTGGGGATTTTTATGTATTTACACATTTCTATTACCCCAGTGTATTTGCAACATAAGCATTTGGAGGTTTTACTGGTATCATCATACTGCTTTATTTGTAAATGTTTCAGTATGACTCTCAAATAAGAGCATTTTCTTAGATAACCACAATAAATTGATCACAGTTAGGAATTTTTAATACCGATACAATACTAATCTAGTCCACAGTTCATGTACATAGTTTGCCAGTCATCCCAGTAATGCTCTTCCAGAGTCTAGTCCAAGATCACACTTTGCAATTAGTTATGTTTAGTTTCCTTTAACTTGGAATAGTTCCTCAGCCTTTCTTTGCCTTTCATGATCTTGACATTTTTTAAAGAGTACAGATCAGTTACCTTGTAAAATGGCTGCAATTTGAGTTTGTGTGATATTTCCTCATATTTGAATTCAAGCTGTGTATATTCGGCGGGAGCCCTCCGGAAGTGAAACTGTGGCCTTCTCAGGGCTACAACAGAAATTTATCTGTTACTGGTAGTGTTATCTTTGATGACTTGGTTAAGGTTATCCTTGATTGGTTACTTCTTATAAAGTTACTATTTTTCCCATTGTAATTAATAAATAATTTGTGGGGAGATATTCTTGAGTCTATGTAAATATTCTTGTCCTCATCAAACTTTTGTTGCTAAAACACTAGTTTTAGTATTCACTGATGCTCCTTGACTGAATCGGTGATTACTAAGACTGTTACAAAGTGATTATTTTCTAACTCTGTCATTTTTTCTACATTTGTTTGTTTATTATAATGGGGAATGTTTCTTTTCCCCCCCATCTTGTTTTTTTATTTATCAGTATGGACACATAAATTCTTATTTTATTCCAGAAATATTCTGTTACTGTCTTTGTTTTGATGCTTACATTGTCTTAGACTTGGCCAGAGGAGGCCTCTTCAGTCTGGCTCCTGTGTCCTATTGACATTTCCCTGTCCCTTTTTGAGAACTTTCTTTCTTAAAGAAAAAGATAAGATATTCTAGTCTCATCTCATACTTGCCCCGCATTTCTTATTTTTTTCACTTATGTGATTTATAGCAGTTTGTTCTAAGTAAGTGGATTTTTAATATTCCTAAAGAAGAATCATAGAAACATTTTCAGTTAATAATGTAATTCTTGTTTTAAGTTCTAAAACCTATTGCGCAAGACACAGTAGTCTGTGGTGATTTGGGTATTATATTGTCTGGTATTTATAGGAAACAGATCCAGGCATGGTAGACATGGTAGCAGAGATAGACTGGTTCTCATATTCAGTTTTCCAAGAGATCAGGACCTAAAGAAATACTGATACAAGCACAAGGATAAGCTATTGCTTTGATGGTAGAGAAGAAATTGTAAATTAATTCCTCTTAGGAAACCAGAACACTTTCTATTTTTGTCATGTAACTTCAGGCTAAGTGGGACGTCAAAGTGCAGATGTTTTGGGAGCAACCATAAGTATGGATCCATAGAAAGATTATCAGCATTTCATATGTGAAAACTCTGGTATGCATATCTGCTGAAATACAGATAATTTTGGAATGGGCTAGAGCTGGCCCCCATAACCACGGAACAAGGCTGGTCTCATTCATAGCTCCTTTTTCTCTCAGCCATGTCTGCTTCACAGAGTCCTACCCCTTCCCAAAAAGGAAGTCCTGGAGACCAGGAGATGACAGCTACGCTTCTCACAGCTGGGTTCCAGGTGAGTTGTGCTCCTCACTGAAACCCCATAGCTCTACTTGACAGTGTTGTGGCATCTACTCCATGTCTGGACTGTTTGTAGCAGAGCTCATGAAGAACTTGTCCCAAATTCTTCCACAAAGAGACAGATTGATCCTCGATTTTCCCTCAGTAAATCTGGTGCATTTTCCTTTTCTTCCCAACTAGCTATGTAGAGCCCTTTATACAGTACGATCCCACCGCTTGATCCTCTCCAACCCTGGTGGAGCTCTCTGACACTGGATTTGAGCTGTGGAACACTCCCAGTCCCCAAATGGGGATCTTATTTTGTTTCAGACTTTGGAGAAGATCGAAGATATGGCTGTTTCCCTAATTCGAGAGGAATGGCTTCTTGATCCATCACAGAAGGATCTGAGTAGAGATAACAGGCCAGAGAATTACAGAAACCTGTTCTCCCTGGGTAAGGAAAGCTCTGGTTATTATCATATAAAGCTGTTTGTTTGTGTGTACAGTAGCTTTGAGCTTTCTGAAAGACATAGTTGAGTTTAAACTCAAAGTCCAACAGAGAGGTAAAATGTTGAGACTTCCTGAGTTCTAAAAGGAAACTTTTATTCTCTAATGCAGCACTTACCTTACAGTTTGTAGCTGGGTACTGGTCTCTGCCAGTTGGAAATTGAAATCTTCTAGCGCTGAGTTCATACTTAGGCCTGTTGTGCTCGTCCCCTGTAATGACTGGGGCTTTTTTCCATTCCTGTTCTACTTGTTAGCTCTTGTACTAGTTCCATATTCCTTCCCACCCCTCAGCTTCCACTTCTTCTCAGCTGATCCCATCTCTACTTTACTCCTCCTCCCCGCACCCTCTTTTTCGATGGCAGTTCCTCCCCAGTTGGTGTGTAGTACTTCTGTTTGCCCTGCTCCTTTCTCCCCGTATTATGAAGGTGTTTTGGAGACAGGTGAAAGCTTTGCCTTGTAACTGTTCCATGTGTAGTTTCCTCTTCCCCTATCTCTGATTCCTCTCTCCTAACATAGAGAGTAGGAAGTGACATTGGCTTGATGTTTATTATATTTTTATTTCAGGTGGTGAGACCAGGAATGAGAACAGGGAATTAGTTTCGAAACAGGTAATATCTTCTGGAATCCAGCCACATGGAGAGACAGCTGCCAAATGCAACGGGGATGTTATCGGGGTTCTTGAGCGTGGAGAAGCCCGAGACCTTCTGGGCACATTAGAGAGGCAGCGGGGAAATCCCACCCAAGAAAGACGGCATAAATGTGATGAATGCGGGAAGAGCTTTGCTCAGAGTTCAGGCCTTGTTCGCCACTGGAGAATCCACACTGGGGAAAAGCCCTATCAGTGTAATGTGTGTGGTAAAGCCTTCAGTTACAGGTCAGCCCTTCTTTCCCACCAGGATATCCACAACAAAGTAAAACGCTACCACTGTAAGGAGTGTGGGAAAGCCTTCAGTCAAAACACGGGCCTGATCCTGCACCAAAGAATCCATACTGGGGAGAAGCCGTATCAGTGCAATCAGTGTGGGAAGGCTTTCAGTCAGAGTGCGGGCCTTATTCTGCACCAGAGAATCCACAGTGGGGAGAGACCTTATGAATGTAATGAGTGTGGGAAAGCTTTCAGTCATAGCTCACACCTCATTGGACATCAGAGAATCCACACTGGGGAGAAGCCCTATGAGTGTGATGAGTGTGGGAAAACCTTCAGGCGGAGCTCACATCTTATTGGCCATCAGAGAAGCCACACTGGGGAGAAACCCTACAAATGCAATGAGTGTGGGAGGGCCTTCAGTCAAAAGTCAGGCCTTATTGAACATCAGAGAATCCACACTGGAGAACGACCCTATAAATGTAAAGAATGTGGGAAAGCTTTCAATGGGAACACTGGCCTCATTCAGCATCTGAGAATTCACACGGGGGAGAAACCCTATCAATGTAATGAGTGTGGGAAAGCCTTTATTCAAAGGTCAAGTCTCATTCGACATCAGAGAATCCACAGTGGGGAAAAATCTGAATCCACTGGAGTTTAGGAAAAAACTTCAGTCATAGTTTGGGCATTATTCAGCATTAGAGGAACCACATGCTGGTGAGAGTTCTTTCAGTGTACTAAAAAGGTAGTTCAGCATCATTACAACCTTGCCTAGGGTCAGGATTGATAGTGGTGGCAGAGTTAGAATAGCTCTTCAGTAGTTTGGGCCCATGGCCTTGTTGCAGGTCGATTAACTTGACTACCTTGAGAGGTGTCTGACGGAGTGGAGCTCCCAATGGGCTGATGGATCCTTTAGAAGCTTGAAGTAGCATTAGAGCAAGTTGCTTGTCGTGGCTCGAGGCACTTAACTGTGTCTCAGGTGAGTAGCTGTAGGACTGAGAGGCTGCTCCTAGTTCTTCTGCTTCTTCCCATCTCCTGTGATTCCCTCCTCCCATTTATTCCCCTGACGGTGCCCTTGTGCTCCTAATCTGATCTAAGAAGCTGCTTTAGAGTTTGAAGCAGCCTCTGTGTGAGACTTATATTTATATTTAGCTTTCTGAGATCCTAGTTCTAGGGACATTTTTACAGACACAATGTATTTATGCTTAAGTTTGCATTTTATTTGATTCTAATGCTCCTGATAGTCAATGGCAATCCATATTCCCAAGCAAACTCAAAATGCTATATTTTTAACATCATTCCAACATTTCTTTTCATATATCACCTTCACTGACTCCACTGAGTCATTGAGCATCCATACTTATCCTTCACCACCCCCAGTCCCCGTACCTGTGTCAGCAAAGGAGGTGGACGCATTAGTGATGGTTGTGCAAATGATGCAGAGAAAGAGGTGAGTGGAGACTTAGTCCAGCTGCTCTTACGCTTGGATGGTTGTACCTTTTGGTGACTTCTAACTCTCCTTTCCACCTTCCCATTGTACCCTGTGGTATGAATAGGTATTTACACTATCCTCGTTAAGGCATTACATGGGAGAAAGAGGAGACAGGTGCTTGAAGAAGTTATAAAAATCCTCACAAAGAATGTTCACTCATCCCTTGGGCCCATTACAAAACCGCTCTGTAGGTTCCTCTCAGTCTGCACAAACCCCCTGTCTAGAGGATCTGTCACTTCCTGTCTTTACCCTCAGTCCACCTCCTTTGGTGGCCTCAGCACCTCACTCATTCTGCATCTGTTTTTTGCCATTAGCTTTACATATTTGCAGTGGTCATCTGTCGAATACTTCACCTCACAGTTCCTCATTCTTCTGAATTCTGGTGCACTCCCATCTAAAATCCAGCAGACACAATATTAAACTCATTATCACCAGACACTATTTCATCTTTGAAGCTTTCAGTATACCAAGGGATATTGTATAAAGTAATGAGGCTGGTTTAAAGTAACATTCTGGACTTTCAGAAGCATCCAAACATGGGTGGTTCTTTCAATTGGACAGTTCTAGCAGTGTTAGCAGTGCTGTTATTCCAAGCACTGCCACTCCTTCAGATATTGGAATACTCTCAAGATTCTCATTTAATAAACCATACAAGAAAACTCTTTGTACTCTTAAATTTCATCTCATTTTTGACTGTTTGATTACTCACTTGTTCACCATATTTAAAACTGAGTAACTTTTGGCTATTTCCAAAATTGGGTTTCAAAATTGGAGTTAATTCCATTAATCCTATTCAGAAGAATATAATATACATTGTGATGAATTCCAAGATAAAGTATTCAGTTTCACACTGTGACTATCCTGAACAAGGACCACACTAATTATTTTATGATTGATGTTTTTAAAAATAAGTCATAAAATCTTACATTGCAGAGGTCCACCTTTTGGGTCATAAATTCCTTCCCTGTAACATCCCTTCTCTACCCTACTGTGGCCGACATGGACCACTAATAACATCAAGGTTATCTACACCTATTTCATTGAGCCATTGGTACCCGCTTGTCATTTGTCATCCCGGTTTCCTTGGTTTACTTTTTCAAAACAGTGCTTTTCGTTATTTGTTTCCTTATCTTCGTTCCCCTCTCTCTGCCTTTCTCTGTCTCACTTTCTTTGGCCTATAGATTACCATTCCTAATGCTCTTGTACTTAAAATTACAAGAAACCAGAAACAGATAAATCTAGTTGTTTCTAGATCCTTGCTCTCTGCTTCAGTTGTGCCTTACTCTCTGTGAGATACTAATTCTGCCTAAGGCCAGTGCTACCTATGTGCAAATATTCCATAGGAAGGGTACATTGTCAGGGGGAGAATACATGTGTGTGTGCGTGCATGCATGTGCATGTATACACACGCTCCTCCCATGTAGTTTGGAGGAACAGTTGTCTCCTGTTCCAATGAAGACTTAGAGCACCATATTGAAATGACTGTATGTGTACCAACATTTCTTTACTCAGAGTAATGTGTAGCCAGACTACTTAAATCTCAGAATTACTAAGCATCTGGCAGAAATGTAGAGAAAAAATAATATGACCAGAAAGATTAGTATTATACTGAGACACATGTGAGAAAAGACTGTGACTTGAAAGAACATTGTATATTAGGGCTGATTCAGCACACCTATAGAAATAGCCCAGTAGTATATATAAGACAGTAGAAAAAGGCTATTGTTTCTTTGGGGTATAAGTAGAAGTCCATTTTTGGTCTCCAGTTTTCACTCTTAGCATTAGAATGTTGTTGGTTCATCTGTATGACCTTATTTTGAGCTCCTTTGAGTGAAATGCACTAACTTCCTTTATCCTGCTGATTCTGTTTTTATACTTTTAACCTAAAATGAACTGTTGACCAGTAGTTTCTTTCCCTGTTCTCAGCTTTTCATTTTAGGACCTGGCATGATAAAATGGTTCTTCTGTAACTGTTGCCATCCAGTATAGTCCTAGGAGAGACATCTTAGGTTTCAAAAATTTTCCCCATTGAGCAAAATGGCAGTGCTAGAATGCAGTGGTTGATTCCCTATGAAACAGTTCATTTCACTCTTGGTTCTGGGGCTCTAGATAACGATAGCTGACGTTTATTGAGCACTTACTATGTACCAAACCCTACATTATGTATTTCTCATGCTTCTGATAGATACTATATCCTTCATTTTACAGATGAGGAAACAGGCTTAGAGAATTGAGTGTGTTGACAAAGATCACACAGCTAGTAAGTGATAGAGCAGGGATTCTAACCCACATAGCCCGATACTCTGAGCCTGTGCTCCTGACAATGGGGCTACCATATCGTCAATGAACACCCTAACCCTGTCCAGCCATTTAAAAATTACATATCCCTGGTCCTAAAAGTTACTGGGGAAGGAAATGTACAGTATAGTGCAAATCCAGTACAATTACCAAAATTTTTTGGTTTATAATTATATCTTTAAATGTTGATACTTTGATGCTTTGTGGTACTAGAAAGCTAAATTCTGCAAGTAAAACATGTTTAAAAAAGTAAAACATGTTTAAAAACTGGGAGGACCAACCAATAACATAGATTCAAATAGACTTCTCTTTAAACTGCCCCAGAGAAAGTAGCATTGTGGAGGGAAATGAAACATCCACGCCCTGGGCAGGCAGATGGATAGTTAAGACGACAACAGGAAGTTCCTCTACAGCATAAAATGTGTGAAAGCTTCGACTTGACTGCTCATTTCCAACTACCATTTTATTTTTCTTCTGTCATTCATGCTTTTTCAATCCAGTCATCCATTGTTAAACCCCGTTGCCTCATTAATCTATTCTTCAAACTTCTTGCTCTACTTAACTCCACTGAAATGTCCTGAGAATCAGTGGATAAATGCTGCCTTTTCTCTGTTCTTGTCCTTGATCTATATTTCATACTCTTGAATTTCCCCAGCATCTCAGGAATTCTATGCTCCTTTTTGGTCAATTTTCTTCACTTTTAGCTTCTCTTTATTGGTCTTTTTTTCCCCTCCTCTCCACTGAGAAAAATCTCCATGTCTTAATTTTATTCACTACTTTTTCTATACTTCTATTTATGTATTTTGATTGTTTACACTTCTGTATTTCTGTATGGGGTGGGTTATCTCTCAACTTGTGAACTTCTCCCCAGGTACCTATCTTGCTATTTGAAAACAGAACTCATCATTCTGTCCCCAGCCCCCATTTTCCTTTTAAATAGGCATCTTTGCTTAACATCTTTACCCTAACCAGACTCACTACCCTTCATTTCTTATCCCAATCTTGGAGTTATCCTTTAGTCTTTTTCTGGTCTCCACTGTTCATGTCCAAAATCTTGCTAAGTTGTTCCAGTTCTTAGTTGGTTTTCTCCTTGAAGGAGCTGGATTTTTTACATTTTTGCCATCCCTTTATAAATCTCTGCTGATCCATTTCATCTGAGGCCCAGGTTATTATAATCCTTTCTTTTTAGTTTCTTTCCTCCCATACCTTGTATGCTTCCAAGATGATCCTCCTCAAACTCCATTTTCATGTTGTCTCCTTTTTCACTCAAGAACCCCAGCAGATAATTCCTATCAGAGCAGTGATGCTCCAAGTTCTCCATCACCTTGTTCTCCATGCTTAATCTGCCTCAGCCTCATTACACTCCAGTACATTCACCTTGATGCATCATGGTCAAACTTCCTGTGACCTTCCACTGTTGTCTTATAAGCCCTTGCCTCTGTGCCTTTCTCATGCTGTTCCTGTGCTTAGATTTCTCTGTGGCCCTGGCTCATTGTTCATTACTCCCTTCAAAACCTAGCTTCCAGTGTATCTTCTGAGTGAGCTCTCCCTGGCGATTTCATCTCACACTAAGACCTCCCTTATTCTGTGCTGCCTCAGCACTGATCCTTTGAGTTTGTACTGTGGTCCGTGTACTTACTGATAAGTTGTTTTATAATTATTTTCTAGCACTCTGTATTGTAGTTCACGTTTGTATTTATTTCCAGAATTGTAAGCTCCTTGAGGGCAGGAATACTAACTTTTACATTTGTATCTCTGCACCCCTTAGTGCCTAGTACAGTGCTGAGCACACAGTAGGCGTTGAATAAATGCTTGTTGAATTATTGTGTGGATTATTTATGGTGTTTTATCTACAGAAAATTTTAAACTACTTTCAAGGATGTATCTTAAAAATTTGTGCACTGACCCATTTCTGTTATACATGGATAACTGCCTACACTTAAGACTCAGACCAAAAAATTCAATTTGAGGAGGGTACCTGTGAAAAGTTGAAATGTGAAACTTTCCATTTGGCCAGACTCACTGGTTAAGAAAGAAAATAGGAAACTCTAAAGATTACTATTTATCATTGCAAAAGTGCTTGAGAGTAGACTTTTATATCTGAAATTAAACCAGTGGTTCTCAACTAGAGAAACTGGGCAATGTCTGGAGACACTTTTGGTTGTACCATCAGTGGGTGGCTAGGATACTGTTGGGATCTAGTAGATAGAGGTTGGGGATATTGTTCACCATCCTGCATGCACAGGACAACCCCTACAGCAAAAGAATGACAGAGCTTCATATGTTTAACAGTGCCAAGGTTGAGAAACCCTGGTCTAGATATATATATAGGAAAAAGAAGAGAGATGAAATAAAAAATTTTTTTTGCAGTTAGAAAAATTAGCTATGCCAAGCTTTATGAGAATCCTAAGTGTTTATATGTTTTGCAGTTTGTAGGATTATAAAAAGCCTTAATGTTTGGAGTTCACAGCAGCATGTATGTATGTGCTAAGGTTGCCTTCAGCATCAGATCTGTCTCCATTCTTTATACCAAGTGGAAGGTGTTATAGGAGTACAAATCTAGTTTTCACCTTCTATATCTTGGTTCACTGCATAAAATGAAACATAAAACACTGGGTTCATAAAGTGAAACATAAAACACTCTTTAGCAGGGGAACTGCAACTAACTTATCAAAGATTGGGACGACATTTGACCCTCAACAGCCCCCTAGGAAGCCGCTAGACAGGAATAACTGCCAACTTCCCAAGGAAACCACAAGCGAAAATGTTGTCAAAGTTTGCCATATTCCCACTTACAAAGTTTTTAACATACTTTGTTAAATCCTACTTAGGAAGGCAAGCATGTAGGGGGGAATGTGACTATTAGGAAATTAAACAATGTAAAAGACCTTCTAAAAGCTAGTCTTTTGTTACTCAGGGGTACTTCCTTCAACAGGTTTAAAACGGATCAATCCCAGAATTAGAAGATCAGTTTAAATATGTAATATACCGAAGAAATAACCATTACTTTTATCTTTATTCATATAGTCTATAGAGTGCTAGGTTTGGAAGTGACTTTTGAGATCACTTTTCAACGCATTAGTCTGTAAATGGAGGTCCAGAAAGGTCATGTGGCTTATATCAGGTCACCCATTAAGTTAGTGGTACAGGTGGAAATAGAATCCAGGACTGAGACTGCCTATTTGTTTTTTGGCTAATTGTGACCCTTATTGTTTTATGTTCTTGATTTATACAGTGCCATGGGATATATTCATACTTAGTGTCTCCACTTGCATTGTTTCATTTTAGGAACTATCCCTTTTATCAGCTTGTACATCCAAACCAGTACACTGACTGTCTTGAGTTTAATAAACGACTGAGTAGTCCAAGGGATTTTGTAGTACTGAACGTTCCCTTTTTTTTTTTTGTTAAGTCCTGCTTTCTCGGGTCTGGTCCCTAATCTTGAAGAAAGCACATAAGATGTGAAGCATTTAAATTCAGATCATTAGTAATGAAGATCAGAGCTCTTGTGTCAGTTTTAGGAATTCTGTAGGGCCCACACTGGAGACACTGCTCTTTCCCAGATGCAATGTCTTTAAATTCCAGGATTCAAGGGTGGTCCTACCCTGGGTAAAATCAGGAAGTAAAAAATCACCAAACCACCTTCGTGAGGAGGAGGCAGGAATTACGAGTCTGGAGATGTACTGGGGCAGAAGTGCTTCCAGAAATGACTGAGTAGGGTCCGGGCCTGGGCGAGCAGACCCTCCCCCAGACTGCCCGCCTTGGGACAAGCTATGCCCCGCCCCGGAAGTGATGAGGCCTTAACGCCCGCGGGGGAGTCTCGGAGCTTGCTGCTGTTTAGGCTGAGCCGCTTTGCATTTGGTTGGTAGTGTGGGTGCTGCTCAGCTGCAGCCCCTCAGATTCCCTCTCCCTCGACTGGCTCGGGTGGAGCGTGGTCACGAACCCCGAAATGCGGTCCTGGGACGGTGGGCAATAAGCACAAATGCAACCTTCCAGGGAAGGATTTTTCCCCTGACTCTGCAGCTGGAGTTTGGGACTACTTTCCTCTCGGGATTATACCCTGATCTTTCCTGAGGTCTTCAGAGTTTTACCGAGTCACGTTAACAGCGTGTAGCTCTGGTACACTTGGGATCGATGACCACCAGACCCTCAGCTTGCCGTTCCAAACAAAAGGGAGAAACTGCAAATGATTGGAAATAAGTATTAGGAGCTCTTAATTTAGGAGAGGTTTCCTCTTCCACATCTGCGTTTTGTGCCCATATTTCCTTTAGAATTCAGAATCTTTATTTCTGTATTTTGGCTTGACCATAAATGACCGCCCTTCCCTATAGCAGTAAATTCACCGTTCACGCCTGGGCAGAACCGCCTTCCGGAAACAGCGGTGCTGTTCTCCCGACGCCCCTCTCTCCCAGTAGTGCTCCGAAGCAATGGCACGGAGATTCCTGTGGCACAGGGACACGCCTGCTAATCCCAGTCTGTGATTCTGTGCTCTAACCGCCCTTTGCAAGTTGGCCCCTTATTTGGCATTGTTTTTTTTTTTTAACTCCCATAACCCTCAGTCATTAGTGTAACAACTATAGCAGTCTTTTTCTTTGAGTAAATTAATATTTCTTTTACAGAAGTATCCCCCGAAAAAGGAGACCTCAAGAGGAATTTTACTGAATTGCAGTCCCCAATTTTAGAAGAGCTGCTTTTGCTGGTTCCAAGGATTCTGTTACTGGAAAACTGCTCTGAGCTGGCTCCAGGTTGACAATTCTGCTGAGGAATGCGAGGTCTAGGAACGGGAGCAGCATTAGAGGGAGAGGAGGGGAGGGGAGGGGGAAGGTCTTTGGGAGAGTGACTAAGCTGGAGGACCTCCAGAGGGAATTAGCCCTAGAAAATAGGGCAGCAACAGAGACGTATTTATCAAGTCATCTTAAGGCTTTTAGTCTCTTAGTGATTCTTCTATTTTTTCCTCCTTTTTAGGCATGTAAATATAAAGTCAGATTGTCATAATGGCCAAATAACATAATCTCTGTGCCTCCATTTCCTCATCTGTATGTGAGGATGATAAAAGCACCTGCCTTTTACATTGCATGAATATTACCTACATAAAGACATGCTATCTAGATACTTGTTGTAATTATTTCTTCTCCTACTTACCTTCCTAGGACTAGCGTGTTCTGCTGATTTATTTGTTGATACAGCGATTCCTTCACAATTTCACGTGTTAAATTTTTCCCTGGCCCCAGCTCTTGCACACAGTCAAGAAATGATCTATTAAGAAATGTCAACTCTGGCAGCAGGAGAAACACTGTGTCTCCAGCTCCTACCTGGGAATACACCATTGAAATATCAATTATAGGGACCCTTCTCCCTACAAGAGAGTTGTAAGTGTTAAACTTCGACATTCTGTAATTTTATGAAGGTTCTGGATGTAAGGGACCTAAAGACACTTTTCTTTTTAAGTTTCTATTTAATGAGATTGGGGTGTGAGGTTGTGAATGCTCAGCAGTCTGGTTAAGTTCAACATGAGGGTGGAACAATAGGGAATCTAGTTCAGCTCTGCCATTTCCATGATATTTTATTGCTCAGGAGTTCCATCTTTGCTGTCTGTTGTCTGAGATATAAGTTGTAAGTATGTTATCCACTTTTTATTTTTCTTTCACTTTGCTTAAGGTGGTTTTATTCGTTTTACCTTGCAGGAGTGTGGATTCTTTGTGTAGGGGAAAAAATTTATCAGTCTTTTCATTTATGGCCTTTGGATTTTGGCTTGTAATTAGAAAGGCCTTCCTACTCTGAAGTTATAAAAGACTTCTCCCCACGTTTTCCTCTGGCGCTTTTATGGTTTTGTTTATAACATGTACAATTTCGATTTATTTGGAATATTTACAGGTGTGCAGAGTGAGGTAGGAATCCAATTTAATGTTTTTCCAGATGATTACACAGTTCTCCCCATATATTTATTGAAAGGTCTATATTCATCATTCTCTTAGATTTTCTACCTTTATATGCTAGGTTTCTGCCTGTGATTGCATCTATTTCTGGATTTTCTATTCTGTATCATTGGTCTGTCTATCTCACTCACCAGTACCACACTGTTTAATCATTGAAGCTTTATGTTTAAAATCTGTAGGACAAGTGCCCCTTCACTGCCCTTCTTTTTCAGTTTTCTTGGGCAGAGTCTTATTTTTCTACATGAATTTCAAAATCTACTTATTAAAAAGGTCATATTTTTATTGGAATAGTGTTAAATTTACAAATTAACATAAAGATTACTTTCTGAGTCTTAAGCCCTGAGGAGCCTTTCGCCGGTTCCCCTCCCCTGGGAGGCAAGTGGAAGGAGTTGGGACTGTAACAGATCTATGTTCAAATTTCATCTCCGCTGTTTTGGTCGTCCAACCTCGGAAAACTTACCTGCTTCTCGGGTTTCTTATGTTAGAAGGGAGGACTGTCACATCTTCCCTGCAGGATTAAAAGAGCTCAAACGCCTAAATGCCTTTTTCTAAGTAAATAGAATCTTTTCCTCTTTTTCTCCTTTCGAGTCGTCAGCTCATGAACCACCGAGAGGGAAGCCTCCCGGATCCTAGAGCGGACCACTAGGTACCGGGGCGGGATTCCGCGGAAGTCGACCTCGCGAGATGAGGGCGGGCGCCGATCCGTTGGTGCAACACTTAACGATTTCCCAGGTGAGACCTCTCATCGTTCTCTGCGGGTTTTGAGTGCGCTCTGGGGCGAAGAGCCCCGGAGAAAGTTACTCTGTGCTGCGCCTGGTTGCCGCAGACTTCCCATCGACCCGGCGCCTCGACCCCTCTCCTTCCCCTCTGTCCCTCCGCCCGCTCCCCCGATCCTTCGTACTCTCCTCCGGTCTCTTACTCCCCTTTCCTTCTCCTCCTCCCTCTTTTTCTGTCCTTTTCCTCCTCCGTCTTCTCTGGGCCGTGGCCGTACTGGCATTGCCGACTCCCCAGAGTCATCCGCACCCCACCTGAGTTCCCCATCACTGTCTCCAAGGCTTGGAAGACTCAAGTTTTCCGAGTGCCCCTCCTCGAGGTTCTAACGGGGCTGGTTTCCGGGCGCGGGAAGGGGAGGGAGGGGAACGGAGGAGACCTTATTTTCTCTCTGCCCCGTGCCCTCACCTCTCCTTTGTGTTGTTATGACCTTGGTGGCTGAGCGACACTTGGCAGCTTTATTTAGATATTCTTGAAATATTTTCATTTTGCTTCAAAGAAAAGGCCAGTTAAGCTGAAAGCTCTGCATATCTCTTCAATTCCTGTCTTTTTTCCCAATTTAGTTAAATATGATAAAAAGTCTTTTAAAGTAGAAAGCATATATTGTATACTCACTGAAATCCAAGATTTTGTGCTTTAGATACCTTTATAAAGGTAGATTTAACATATTTATTCCAATAGTTCTGAGGTGGTACAGACTGAATAAAGAAATTTTATCTGACTGCCATGTGATCAGTGTGTCCTGGATTTATCAAACATGATAGTACTAGTTAAGTCTGAATCACATAATATTACTTTAGCTGCAGGGAATAAATTACATTTGAAACGTCTTATTTCAGGATTCAAGACCAAAGGTATGAACCTGGTGTCAATTCTGAAGGGAAAATTTTTGTAAGGATGGACCCACCACACCAGAAAGTACCCGGCATACAAAATGGGGATACTTTACAGATTGCTGAGTATGAAACAACTTCTCAATATGAGGACCAGTTAGAAAGGCATGCGAACAGGCCAACAGAAGAAAGACGGTATAAATGCAGTGAATGTGGAAAGAAGTTTGCCCAGAGTTCAGGCCTTGTTCGACATCGGAGAATCCACACTGGAGAGAAACCCTATGAGTGTGACCACTGTGGAAAAGCCTTCAGCGTGCGCTCAACCCTCACTGTGCATGAAAGAATCCACACTGGCGAGAAACCGTATACATGTAATGAGTGTAGGAAAGCATTCAGTGTGAGAGCACACCTGATTATACATCAGAGAATCCACAATGGAGAGAAACCCTATGAATGTAATGAATGTAGCAAAGCATTTAGTGTAAGCTCAGACCTTATCAAACATCAGAGAATCCACTCTGGTAAGAAACCTTATGAGTGTGATGAGTGTGGAAAAGCCTTCGGTGTGAGCTCAGCTCTCATCAAACATCAAAGAATCCACACAGGAGAAAAGCCATATGAGTGTAAGGAGTGTGGAAAGGCCTTCTATGTGAACTCAGCCCTTATCAATCACCAGAGGATTCATTCTGGAGAAAAGCCCTATAAGTGTGGAGAATGCAGGAAAGCATTCAGCCAGATCTCAACCCTCATTCATCACCAGAGAATTCATACTGGAGAGAAACCATATGAGTGTGACGAGTGTGGGAAAGCATTCCGTGGGAGCTCTAATCTTACAAAACACCAGAAAATACATGCCAAAGGAAAGTGTCATCAGTGATTTATATGGTGAAGATATTACAAAGGCTTTTTTTAATATCTGAAGTTATCACCAAAAGAAGAATGTGGTAAAAATTAGTTTTAGTTAACACTTAGTTTCTTGAATGTGGAAGAAATGGGAAGTCAACGAAAAATGACTCCATCATCATAATGACTGACTAAGGCTCTAAAATCACATCTACTTCTAAGAATGCAGTTTTACAACTCAAGGTAAATTATACCATAGTGTAGTTTGTTATTTTAGTAAGAGGAGACTTCAGTATTTCAAACACTATTTTAACTTTTCTTCTGTACAAGCCTTTTATTGTTATTGGTGCTACCAATATTACAGGTGAAACATTACATTTTGAAACTGAAAGTAATGTTGGTTGGTGAGCCAGGGACCACAAATCCTCATTGAATCTGGAAATACTAACCTATTGGTCTTCCTTTCTTTGCCTTTGATATACTGTGCTCTCAGAGATGGTTTAATGAGTTAGTAACCTCTTGGCAGAAGGCAGACTATCTCTCTTAGGTAGGAATTCCATTGATAATCCTTCAAGGTTATTCTTGCCTAGTTAAAGCCCCAGGCCTTTTGATTTACTAATCCAGGAACCCCCAGAACTTAACCGAGGTTCCTGAGCCAAAACAAAACAAAAACAGAAACCTCCCAGAGTGACAGGTGCTTCTAACCCTTGCATTCAGTGTTTCTCAAAGTATAATGTGACAAATGCCAAGACTCAGGTATGAAGATCGAACAAGGTTGGGGAACAGTTGTTGAGTTGGGGTTGGCATTAGTTTTAGGATCACTTTCAAGGATCTATTTGAGTGACTATGTGAAACTTGGTACCTGTAATCAACCAGAAGAGCTCAGATTTGGGAGGTGGTTGACAGTTAATGAATTCAGTTCAGGAAATATCTTTGCTGTGTCTGTGGAAATCCCAGGAGATCTGTTCACCCGACTATAGCCTAAATTCCTAGCTCTATCCCCAGGCCTAAAACTCAAATCCTATATGCATATGAAACTCAAACGGAATCTGGGCTTTAAAAGAATTGCTTTGTTATTATTTTTCCATATTAGTAGTGATTTCTTACTCCTGGGTAACAGGCCTGAAACTCTTTTGATCCCTGAAACGTTTGAGGTTCAAGATGAACACTAAACTGATAGAAATTGCAGATTGCTTTGGTCTGCACTGTGGACAGGTAGGAGGGAACACTCTGGGAAGTGGAAGTCGTGTTCATTCCTCAGAGTAGGACTTTGTGTTGCAAAGGATGCACAGTTTCCCTGAATTCTCATCAGCAATTCAGACAAGTCAGCTATAAGACACTGAATTCTCTGAGCCAGCTTGTACCCTCAGACACTGAGACCACAGATACATGTTAAAAAGCACATCATGAAGTTTCTATTATTGAGGTGGTACTTACCGCACTACTCAAGTAACTTTAGACCTAGACGCGGTGGCTGAAGGCGAGCAGAGGAGATAGGACCTCAAGGCGTGTTAGAGAAAATAAGGCACATATTTACAAGCAGTGAAGGGCCTCAGCAAAGCACCACGAAGTTGACATTGCTTTTCTGGGTTGAAGGTGTTAATTTCTTTGCCCTACTTCTCCCTGCCTTAGGCAATTGAAGGAGACCGTGATTTTCTCCTTGCTGTGCTCTGGAGAGAATTCCCTGTCACCCCATGTCTGTGTTGTAATCGCCAGTGTTTTCAGTGTTTACCCCTTTGGCCCCAGGTGTCTTGGTTTGTTCTTAGGACGGAAGTTTGCGGACGCAGTCTTCTGGGTGGAAAATACCCTTCTGGGATCAGCACCAAAGTGATGCCATATCCCACCCCAGACCAGCCCAACTGTGAATCCTGAGCAGTAAGTGGTAAGTATTCTGAAGACTTTGAAGGAGCAGACATTCTAGAAAAAGAAATTTCTTTTACTGAAGAGTTGAATGTTAGGAGATCAAAATGTGTGTAACATGTTTATTCCTTGTGAACTCAAATTCTGGTATTAATGATTTTCTATTTTAGGTATGGTCTTGTGCCAGGTTCTAAGAATACAAAGATAAATGAAAAAAGCACCCCACTCTTCAGCGGCTTACAGTCTGTTTGGGGAAAGGGAGAAGGGAGTAGATAGAAAACAGCAATTACAGTGATACAGCCACTAGATTTATACAGCATGCTTTGCATTAAAGGTGTAACAAGTACTTATGAGAGGGCTGCAAAATCTTCGAAGGAGGATGAAATCTCGAAGAAAGAGTTCGACCACGTGAAACGAATGAAGGAAGGTACGGGGAGAATAGCATGTTAAAAAGCCTGGTGCATCTGGGGGAAAGAAGGAAATTCTCCATGACTGATTACAGAATGCATTATGGAAGTAGTGATAAATGAAACTGGAGAGAACGCTGGGGGCCAGACCATAAAATTCCTTGTTTTTTTCTACTAGGAAGTGTGAAACATCTTCTCTAGGCTAATGTTTGTCAAACACTTTATGCAGTAAGAACTGCATTTTACATTGTAACTCAGTATACTATTCATTGTTAGGAGAGCCAGTCCTTCTGAGACCACTTGCATTCCTACAGGTGTCATGCTGGGTAAGAGTAGGCTAGCTTACTGTGTGCTTATTGGTGGTTTGGTATTCTTCATGGAAAGTTCCTGTTCGGTTCATACACGTGTTACAGGAATTACACATTCTCTATATGAGCCCTTTTCACAGAGAATGCACATATCCTCTCCAACTCCATGGCTTACCTTTTTATTCTCTTAATGGTGTCTTTCGATGAGCTTTGGTTTTTAAATTTAATGTAGTCTGGTATATCAGTCTTTTTCTTTTCTGTGTGACTTACTTCTCTCAACATTATGTTTGTGAGATTGATCCATGCTGGTGAGTGTAGTTTTACTTTATTCCATAAAATTGTAACTCAACAAAGCATTTCAGCATGTGGCTAGGATGGTGTATTCAGGGTTTTGCTTTATATGATAATCTTGCCTATAAAAGAGTTAGACTTAGAAAATCTAAATATATGGAAAGTTAAACGACTATCAAGTAGATTTCCTCAAATGTTAGATGTCTTAAGCAAGTGTTAGGCAAGTATTGGCTTGAAAGTCATGATTGAATTCTCTGACATGGACCTGTGACATACTCTGTGTAGCCAACCTCTGATCCTTTCTGTAATAATTTAGGGAATGAATGGATGAATAGATAGCTGAATTTTATTCTTGTCAAGACATACAGCCAACCCACTTCAGCATGGGCATGAATGGTAAAGGAATTTATAAGTAAAGCCAATTTATTCCTCATGAAAGAAACTTTGGATCTTCTTAATCACAGTTTGGGTGCTGAGTTGGGGTTCCAAAGTTTTTTTTATCAAAAAAGCATGAAAGAGACCACGTTCACCTGAAAGATGTGTAGAACAAGTCTTATTTGGTGACTATTCAATTTATTAAAAAATAATGAATTTATTATTATTTAGGTTGAGCTGTATTTTATGTCTGATTTCTAACAAACATAAATATACTTCAGTTCCTGTAACCACTTCCAGTTTTTCCCTTCTTCAACCTCCCATAGCACATTGTTTATTTCTTAGGATAATTACCTTACGTTTTGCTTTGTATATATTTGTTTGCCTCTCTTATCCTGCTCATTTGATTATGAGTCCTTTGCAGAAATTATGTATGACTCCTTGTAGGTTCTCTGCAGCCCCTGGTACAGAAATGCTGTGAGATTGTACAAGTCAGCTTAGGCTAATTATGATCAACTAGCTTTTTATTATGTAACCAACAACTTCTCCCCAGCCCCCAAATCTCAGTGGCTTACAGTACAAAATTTATTCCTGGTAATGTTGCATGTCAGTTGCAGCTCTTGCAACACCTTCTCACCACTCTAGGATCCAGGCTAGAGGAGTATTCCTACCCTGAATATGTTGCTCTTAGAGCAAAAGGAAAACAATGGTAGGACCACATGATGGCTTTTAAAGCATCTACTCAGGAGGAGCATATGTCATTTCTACTTACATTTCATTAATCAAAGCAAGTCAAATGACCAAGCTTACTATCCATCAGGTGGAGAAAAATAATCCATACAAAGAGGGCAGTGAATAACTAACAAAAGTAATATAATCTACCATTGAGATAGTGCATCTACCATAATGGCCAATATTTGTGGAATGCTTTCTGTGCTGGGGATTTTTCTGAGTGTCTTACATATTTTTCTCAATAAAAAATGATATAGATACATACTACTATTCTCCCATTTTACAGCTAAAGAGAGTGAGGAACAGAGACTTTAAATAACTTGCCCAAGGTTGTACAGCTAGGAATGGTAGAGCCAGGAATTGAAACCAGAAGTTTAACTTGACAACCTTTTCTCTTAACCACTATGCAATATTATGAAGGTTTCAATCTGAAGGTTGTTTATGCACCACAGTGGGCCTTAAAAGCCAGTATGTTATGCTGGTAAGAACTTTAAAGGTGTGATTCAAGAGCCCTTGGTCTCAACATATCTTTACCTCTACGTAACCTTATTACCTAGGCTGATGCCACCTAGCTGGGTCTCAGTTTTACATCCTTAAAAATAAGGGAGAAGGCCAAATATTCTCTGATATCCCTTCTAGCTTTGAAGTTTTTATAATCTCTCCAAATAGATAGTAAAATGCTTTGTTATATGATGACCTCTTCTTTAATCTGCTACTTTATATATTGTTATGTTCATAGGAGCTCTTGGATAAATGAGTCTCCTCACTAGTCCCTTCTGTTTTACTTCTGCTCTGCATTAGTGATAGTACTAATAATGAGTAGCTTCTGTTTATTTAGACCTACTTTGTTCAGGGTACTTTTCCAGGTTTCTTAGGGTAAAAGTACAGATGCTATATTTGGGAAAAAGGAAAGCAGGTTTAAAAAAAAAAAAGACTCTAAACATCCATTTTGAGAACTTAAAGTACAGGAAAATAAATCCAAGAAAGCAGGAGGAAGAAAATACTAAAGATAAGAGCAGAAATTAACGGAAAAACAAGTATATATTCTTACTTAGAACTTTCACATAAGAGGAGGTGTGTTTTACATAATTTCTCTGTAGGCTATTCTCGTATACCTTACGTTTGATGCCCTCTTTCTGCCTCTGGGGAAAAGATGCTAATTTCGTGATCAACCTGTTCTTTCAGATGGTGACTTCTGATAGTAAACAAGGAGTCTGTTTCAAAGCAGAGTTTTCCAGAATAAGTCTAACACAGAGGGGGATGATGTTCAGAAGACTTAAGTGGGAACATCGTCAGGGGCTCCACACTGAACAAGTTCATGGGTTCTGAATAATTTACCAAAGTGAGGGAGGAGCCCCCTTGAGTATGCACAGTTTATATTGCCTTAAGCCAAGGAGAGTATCATTCGGATAAAGAGACCTAAGATACCTGCCCAGGAGAATTTGTCCTTAAGTTCAGTCCTGTCGATGCTCTGGGCATGGGAAATCCTCTGTTCAGCTTGCACACAACTTCCATCTTCAACTGTAATAAAAGAAGCATCCACTCATTGTAAAGTGAATGGAAGTCACTGATCCAAAAATATCCCTCCCTAATAAAACAACACACACCAGCAGCCCTGACCAAGCACCAGCATGTCCAGACTTCAAGAAAGCCCTTTGAGTATCCTCAACCTGAAAAGACCTTCAGTGTAATCCCAAGTCCCATTAAACAACAGAGAGGCCATCCTGAAAATGAGAATAAAGAATGTAAAACCTTCAGATACTGGAGTGATCTGAACCCTCGAGAATATCTTCAGTGTCAGAAGCCTTCCATGTGAGCTCAGGTCTTATTAAACATAAGCAAATTCATTTATCTGTGTCATGAGTGTGGCACAGCCTTTAAATTCTGTGATAGCCTTGTTAAACAGAGAATCCACACTGAAGAAGAAAATCTGTGGGTGTAAAGAGTATACATGATTCATTGTGTTTCAAGTGTGGTCACCTGCCAAAGAACCCACACTGGATTATGAATGTAATGAGTGGGTAAAGGCCTTCTTTCGGAAGCCAGCATTTATTACTGGAAAACCAACAAATATTAAAATGTGGGAAGGTTGTCACTTAAAAGCTCAGTCTTACACTTCAGAAAATCCACACTGGAACAAAATCCTGTAGGTGTGACCACTATGGGGACACTTTAAACGTTAGCTCAACTCAAAGTGTAGCAAAAATTCCATGCAGGAAAGAGAACTCTAAGTGTAAATAATGTGGGAAAGCCTTCAATCAAAGTTCAGATCTCACCAAACATCAGAGTCTACAATGGAACGAAGCTTTATGACTTGGACAAGTGTGGGAAAATCTTCTCATAAACTCGTATCTTACCAAACATCAGAGGATACACAAGAAAAATGAGCCTCAATAGTCAGATTATGTGATAAGAGGTATAACATAGAACTTTTTCAAAATCAAACATCACCATTAGGGAAAATACCCAGTTGCATATAATTACTTTAACTGGCACTATTTTGTGGAAATAGGCAAGTGTTAATAGAAAGACACTTAGGTCACTTTGGGCAAAGTTGAATTAAAACATTCTTTTGTCAGATCTCAATGGATATTTAACTGTCTTTGACACAGTTAGCTTTTCATTTTCTACAGTAAAGGTAGAGAGAGTAGGGGGAAGTCTTTATGACTAATCACAACCTTGGGTAAAACAAGCATTATTTATTAAATTTATTTTTTGTTTGGAATTCGTGATGCTAATTTAAGTTTTTCTAAGAATGATTTTGACATTGATTCATGGGACCCAACAGTTATACATACACTTCTACCAGACTTACTCTAGTAATCTGGGAAATTCTGCAAATAAATATCTGTGTTTTGGTATATCATTTCACAGAATTTCCTAACTCTTTGTTTAAAAAAAAATGAGAAATGTATGTGGGGGACCAGGTGAACATGTAATGCTGAATAACAGATCATATTTACCTTGTTCATCTTGGTGTCTAATATATAAAATATATATATATATATATATATATATATAAAATAGTGACTAATGCAGAAAAAAACGCTTGTGACAAAGGCTGTTGAATGACTGCTTGAAAGGTTCTGTTTATGGGCTGGTACAAATTTATCCCGAAGAGTGACCTCTAATAGTTTGCTATAGGATCTGCCGTCTTCTCAGACCTGGTCAAGGAATGACCTTGGGTGCTCAGTGTAGATTGATTACAAATTGAGTTCATGTTCAGTAATCATTGGTCTGTGTGTGGCATTACTTTCAATATACATTTACACTTTCAAGCAACTTTTTATTTTAAACAGTCTTGGTCTGAACACCTTTGGGATTTTTTCTGGAGAACATACCCAGGAATGAAATTACTGGGTCACAGGTTATGCACAGTGTAAATTTCACTGGCAGGTAATGGTTCCTGTTCCCTAGGAACTAAGGAATCTATCTGGCATCTTAACCTGATCATCATGTCACCTTCTCTGCATAGGTTCCTGAGAGCAGCAGATATCCCAACCAGCAATAAAAAGACATGAGCAATCATGCCATGAAAATCCATGAAGAAATGTTAACTGCATTTTGCTAAATGAAGAAGCCAATCTGAAAAGGCTTGCAAACTGATTTCAACTACATGACATTCTGGAATAGGCAAAACTATGGAGACAGTAAAAAGATTAGAAGTTGGTGTGTGGGAATGATGAATTGGTGGAGCAGAGGGGATTTTTAGGGCAATAAACTATTTGGTATAATATTTATAATGGTTGATGCTTATGTATTTTCCAAAACTCACAGAATATACTACACAGTGAACAATATATACCATGGACTTTAGTTAATACTGTATCAATATCAATTGTAACAAAGGTACTTCACTAATGCAAGATGTTAATAATAGGGGAAACTGTGTGCGTTTGTGTGTAGCTAGGGAGGGCTGGAAGGGACATACAGGAAGTCTGTACTTTATGCTTCATTTTTTTCTGTAAACCTAGTCCCCAGTACCTCCCTTAAAAGTTAATTAATTATTCGACCTAATAAAACTGAAAAAGAAGAAAAAAAGAAAGAAAACAGCCTGTAGAAAAGAATACTAAAGGCAATCAATATAATCTAATTTAATAAAGCTATGCATGTTTATAAGTTATAAAACAAAAAATAATTAAACCTAATCCCCCCCAAAGTATTTTACGTTTTTTAAAAGCTGTTTTCCATCAAAAAAAAATCACTGGGAGTAACAAGGGAAGTGGGAGCCCATATCTGGTGTTCATATTACAAATTACTCATATCCAGAATATAAAAAAAAAATTTCAGTCATCAGTAGTAAATTACACTATCAGAATGGTTCAAGAGCTAACTCCTGGAGTGCAGTGAATGTCAGCAATGTTGTGGATGATTTGAACTTTATGGAGAGGCTTAAATTTCTCCAGGAGAGAACAGGGGGAGAGAAAGGAATTAAAAAAAAAAATCAAAACACCAGAATGAAGTGATCCCCCTGCCCTGGCCGAACGCCAAGGAGGAAGCAAAAGGGCGGAGTGGCGGGGTTGATCATAGAGAGGACCGCGCCTCCGGATTCCTAGGCGGGCAGCGGAAGTAGCCTCGTGGTCCTGGGCGCCTTTTGCACCGCTGTTCTGGGCTCTTGGTTGGCTCGCGGGGTGTTGGCTCAGGTTTTCTGTTAACTACCGGCCAGGGCTAGTCTCCGGGGAGCACCACCGGCCATCCCCAGAGCGGCGGGTGAGCGGTCGGGCTGCGCCCCAGCCGAGCTGCAGAGCGCCTCATGTCGGTTGTCCCGCAGGGCAGAGATGGGACGGGGAAGGGTCTCTGCGGCATGGGTGTCCTGTTCGGCCCCCAACACGTGCACAGAATGCTTGATAACGAGCTCCAGTGACAGTCTGCCTCTACTGTTCAGTTTGGCTTTGTCGTTGTTATTTTGTCTTTATAGTATAGCGTAAACTAGGTACGGATTTTGGTTGATCATTCTCATTCTTTTATACACAGTGGAGGCGGGGCGGGGTGTCGGGGGAATGTCTCAACTGACCGAGAGGTGCTTTATGCTTTACTCCCTGAACGAACGCTGTAACCATTTTTTGGCTTTTTAGTGTATTACTCCCGTGTATAAATAAGTAGTTTGATTCTTTTAAAGGTCATGAAGGTTTTACTGGAAAAATAACTGACTCTGCCCATGTGTATATTGTCATAATAAGATTACTAAGGTGCGACAAGATCCATTGTCCCTTAACTTTGTTAAGGATTAAGAAGCCTCCTTTTCCTCTACCGGATATCTCAAAGCCCATCCTGCCCTGCTGAAGCAGTTCTATGAAGGGGATGGTAGGTTGTGTGTGTGCATAAAAGACAGCCTTGACAAATGGGCTCTGGTGGCCCCCAGCCTGTGGCTCATGTACTTCTTTTCTTCCTGAAATGTAGTTCTTATAAACTAAAAAGTCTTCAAATTCTGTGAATGTGACATTACTTCCCACAACAGTTCTATACTAATATTTATGTAGCACTTTTCTGTATATCAGCAGCCAAGTGCACTTTTTCAATAATTCTGATCTATTTTTGTGGAGCTCAGGAATATTATCTTACCAATATTCCATTATTCAGGAATATCACCTTGGTGGTGAGTCTTCATTACTAACAATATAAGTTCTTGACTGCTCTGGTTATTTTGCTGTTTTAACAGTGGTTCTCCTCCCACAGGAGCGCTCTGGTCTTAAGATTCCTCCTGATTCCTGGGATGTTAAGACAAGTGAATCCTATCCTGAGCCATTGCAAATTAAGATGTCCACCAAGTTGAGAGAAGGTGCAGCCTTGACTCCCGTGGTCCACATTCGAGAGGAGCATGAGGGTCTGAGAATAGTGAAGGTAGAGGAAGAGGAGGACCATGCTTGGGAACAGAAGCCTGGACAGCGAGGAAACGAGTACAATTATCAGGAACTCCTCCGCCGGCGCTTCAGGCAGTTCCGTTATCAGGAGGCCCCTGGACCTCAAGAAGCGCTGAGCCGGCTTCGGGAGCTCTGCCAAAAGTGGCTGCAGCCTGAGCTGCACAGCAAGGAGCAGATCCTGGAGCTACTGGTGCTGGAGCAGTTCCTGACCATCCTGCCCAAGGAGCTCCAGGCCCGGGTATGGGGCTGTCATCCAAGGAGTGGAGAGGAAGTGGTGACTGTGCTGGAAAATCTGGAGACAGAACTTGGAGACAAAGGACAACAGGTGGGGAAAAGCCGTTGTTCATTTATGAGTGCACCAAAGGTCTGCCAGCAAAGAGAGTGGGCATAGGTAAGCAAAAGGGTTTTATGACCAGATGTGCTGGGCTGAAGCATTGTCTTTCTGTTTTTCCGTTAAAGCTCTGCTGCTTTTGTGAATTGATTAAGATACTGGTTTCTTCATCATTCTGCTTCCTGTGCCCATAGGAAATTTTCTTTTTAATCAGACTCTGAGGTTTTAGTTAACTCTTGCCATATTTCAGATTCTCTCCTAAACCCAGCTCTACTTGCATGTCCTTAGGTCCCAGGCAGTGCACACTACAAACAAGTGCTGTGGAAGGAAGTAGAACCTGGAAGCCTTGCAGGTCAGTCACTGACTGTCCAGCTGAAGTGTGATCCGTGGGAGCACATTCCTCTACAAGAGAATGGTAAGCCTTAGAACGTGAATCTTTGTGACCTTTTGGAAGCACTGACTATAGCATCTCCTAGGAAGCAGTATTTCTGGTGGAAAAAAGTGGTATTTGGAAGTAGAATAAATTTAACACCAAAAGTTTGTTTACAAAGTGAGCATATCTAGAGTTGATTTAATTTTGAATTGGGATATGTGGTATTTTTTAACTGGGTTTTGACCGTGGTTTACAATTCTGTGAGTCCAAATCATCAAGGAGCTGTTTTAAAAATACAGATGTCCAGATCTAGTATAGATTTACTACAGTGGGCCCTAGTACTATATTTTTAATTAGCTGTTATCATAGAACAATAGTGGTAGCTTACATTTTAAAAATTCAAGTAGTATAGAAGGATATAAAATGAAAATTAAAGTTCCATACCTGAGAGTTTACCACTGTTAACATTCTCTAGTATACACTCAAGTTTTTTCTGTGTATATTCAAGCCCCTCCCCTCTTTTTAGTGCAGGTGGTATTGTAATGTACTGACTATATTTTCTAATTTTCTGTATTCTTAATGCTGTGGCATTTGGGGTCTTGATCCTGGAGAAGCTGTCCTTCCCAGGGCTAGCTGATTCCTTGAGATAGCAAAGGACTCCCCTGCAAGTGGACCTTTCATATACAAATCAACCAATCCAGAGCCCACTCCTCCAGTCATCTCCTTTATACAACTTTCAAACACCAGGCCAATACTCCCCTTGCCCTAAATCACCCAAGGGCCAGGTGCCAGACAACTAGGGCACATCCCTGTAGCCCAGAGCCTGCCAGAATTATCCACACTATCCAATCCTAAACTTACGCAGCATACCTGCCCCGTCTTGCCCATTCCTTCCTGGGAAAACTCCAATAAAAGCTCTAGGTCTCGCTCTAGCCCTTTGCCCTTCTGCCTCCTGACCAACCTTGGTGCTTTCTCACATGGCCCTGCGTGGCAGGCTACGCATTCTGTTCGTGGGGATCTGTGAGTATAGTCCTTTCCATGTCTGCCTGTCTTACCATGCCTGATTGAAACAAATCCTGGGTACACTTTAACATACATATTATACATACCACTTTGCATTTTGCTTTTTTCTTTTTACCTAATGAGAATATTCAGAACATTATTCACTCATGCAACAAATATTTATTGGACACCAACCATGTGTCCAGCAGTATTCTAAGCACTGGGGACACAGTGGTGAACAGGATGGCCAATGTCTCTGCTCTCATGCAACTTAACATTCTACTTAAATCAGTGGGTACCACAATCTTAGTTCCTTCATTCAGTTGCAGTCAATGTTTGTGGCCTAGATAAGACATGAAGAAATAATATTTTTCTTATCAATAGACTTACTTTATTCTTTCTGATGTTTAGTTTTCTGCTGCATACATGTATTATAATTAATTTAATAGTCTCCTACTGATGCACTAGGCTGCAAAGCTATGGTGATTACCTCTGGGGAAAGTAAAAGGACACCACGTGTTGGGGAAAGATGAATGGAGATTTGGACTTTTTACTTTTACACCTTTTGTACTGTTGAAAATTTTACATGAGTATCTGTTCTTTTTGTAGTAGAAGTAAACGGTACAGGCTTTGGCTTCAGATAAACCTGGGTTCCAGGCCAGGCTTTACCACTTCCTAGTCATGTGATCACGGGCTAGTTACTGAATTTCTGTGTTTCAGTTTCTGTATCTATTACCCAGCTCATCTTGTGCTGTTAGCACCAAAAATTGGCTGAGCACTTTGTGTTTTAGCTGTCCATTTCCATGTAACAAACCACCCCAAAACTTAGTGGCTTAAAGGAACACCCATTATATTCTCTCTCACAGTTCTGTGGATTGACTGGGATAAACAGGGTGGTTCTTCTGCTGAAATGATACCAGTTTAAGCTACAGTTATCTGGGGGCTCACCTGGGCTGTGATGCTCCAGATACTTCACTCCCGTCTCAGACCTTGGCAGGAGACGGCTAGGAAACTGTTCTGACGTGGATGGGCCTTGGGTCTTCTTACACTCTCACTGTCCATTTATCTCTTTAGCCCGGTAACTACACTTCTTGCATGGTGACTCAGGGATCTCCAAAGCACCTTTTTATAGTCTTAGTCCTTGAACTGACATATCATCACTTTCACCATATTCTGTTGGATAAAGCAAGTCACAGGCCAACCTAGATCCTGTGTGGGAGGGGGATGGATTACACAAGGGATGAATGCTGCAAGGTATGTTCACTTGGGACCCTTTGAAGACTCTGTGGAAATTTTCATTTCTTCCCTGCCATTCTGAGTTCTTAGATCTGGGCTGGGGCCCTGAAGCCTTTTATTTATTTATATTTATTTTCTGTGACTCATAGGTACGTTGAGTGTCAGAAACCATTAGGATAATAACTCTGATTATTTAGCACAATGCCTGATATTAGTAAGCATTCTGTAATGGTATCAATTACTCTTACTAGTCTTTCTTCCAAACCCTTACACGGGACATGTGGCAATCATAATCAACTTGCTCTTTCAGCAGGAGGTGAGGCGAGGAATATGACTGGTGAATTTGCTCTGAACCAGATTTCTGAAGAAAGGAATTCACTGGATGCTTTCCAGGATCCAAAGTGTGGAGAAACTTTTACTCAATGTAGGGGTAAATCAGAACAGCCAAAGGTCAACCCCACAAGAGTAAAACGACATAAGTGTAAAGAGTGTGGGAAGGCCTTTGCTCAGAGCTCGGGGCTTGTTCGACACTGGAGAATTCACACTGGAGAGAAACCTTATAAATGCAACCAGTGTGGGAAAGCCGTCAGTTATAAATCAGCCCTTCTCTCACATCAGGAAATTCATAATAAAATAAAACGCTATCAGTGTAATGAATGTGGGAAAGCCTTCAGTCAAAACACGGGCCTTGTTCTTCATCAGAGGATCCACACTGGGAAGAGACCTTACAGGTGTAAAGAGTGTGGTAAATCCTTTAGTCAAAGTTCACACCTTATCGGACATCTGAGGATCCACACTGGAGAGAAACCTTTCAAATGTAATGAGTGTGAGAGGGCCTTTACTCAGAGGTCAGGGCTCATGGAACATCAGAGAAGTCACACTGGAGAGAAACCCTATACGTGTAAGGAATGTGGGAAAGCCTTCCGAGGGAGCACCAGCCTTACTCAGCACCTGAGGATCCACACCGGGGAGAAGCCCTATCAGTGTGAGGAATGTGGCCGAGCCTTCATCCAGAGGTCAAGCCTGGTTCGTCATCAGAGGACTCACAGAGGGCAGAGTCTGTGTCTGTATCCTAATTATGAGAAGGCCTTTAATCATAAACCAGGCCTTACTGAACACTTTTGAAAGCTATGCCGAATGCAGACCCTGTCATAAATTCAAGAGATCGGGGTGTGGTGTCTCCATTACCATTGTTATTCTAGGTAGTCAAACTAGAAGAGGTTCTGATATCCTACATCAGGTTGAAAGAAACTGGTAACTAGCTTCTGGAGCAAACCATTCCCATTTGGGCTTGAGTCTGTGGTGGATGCTGTTATTTCTTTCTCCCATCCTATTGGTCCTTCTCCTTTGTGGTCC